AAAAAAAAAAAAAATCAAATTGGCACATTAACAAATAGAAAAACTTGCCATTTTATTGCTCACTTAAAAGAAAAAACACCAAATGACTTTGCTCCATCTCCAAAAGAATAATAGCAAAGCAAGTAAAACTCATCATACACTTACTGAATAGAGAGATAGTGAGCCTAGAGCAGAAAGAACCAAGGGAAATTATGCACAGATAGACAACAGGTATTTCTAGAAGTTTGCATTATTCATTAACTTCAGGGTTTCTTGGGGTTTTTTGTTTGTTTGTTGATTTACTTGCTTTGTGGGGGGTTCTAGCAAAAAGCAAAAGCAAATGTCCATTACAAAAAAAAAAATTGAAAGTCTCACTGCTGGCCTTGTTTATCTCTAGAAAACCTTCTAAACCACAACCTTTACAAAGCCAGTCCATATCACTGAACTGATTTCTTCAGTTAGTGGTTTTCAAGCCTTTTGCAATAACTGGAGACTGTCCACAAATTGTTTTTTATTCCTATTAATTCCAATTCTTGCTTAAATTATTTCTTTAAGATCTATAGATGATGAACTGATCCTTTGTAATCTAACAGACTTACTAAAGTATAACAACAGATTTGTTAGATTATATGGTTTAAGGAGAAGAAATAGTAAGTAAACATTATCATACATATAAAGGTGAATGAAAACACAAGTTTTTAAATCATTCCTCACCAACAGTACCAAAGAATCTATGTCCTTTGGACTCAGCTAAGGGTAAATGCCAGTCCCCTCACCTGGAGGTCCTACAGAAAGCCACCTAAGAAACTGATAATTAGGAAAGTTCTTCAGACCACCTGAGGTTAGTGAAGAAGTTTTCCTTCTTTGGGAAGGCACCTAATTACTTGAAGAGCATGGAATTCATACTCTCAAATATGCAACTATGTACTCTAAGCATGCCAAAAAAAAACAAGGACACCAAACTTTCCTCAACATTAGTGGCAATCTAGGATTTAAATAGTTTAACAACTATTTTGAATGTTTATTTGTGGTGAGGAGGCAACAATTAACATCCAAGAAATGAACTATAACATCCTAAAATATATTCTGGTACATGTGTAAGTTATTAGCATATATTACAAAACATGTAGGAATCGATTTTTTAAAACTAGAAGAAGTGAATTGTTGAGTGGAAACCATGTTTTTCACAAATTATGAAATCACAAAAATTCACTATTGAAAAGAACAGCACATCTACACTTTGAAGTGTTTCAAACACAACAGTTGTAGATGCCAACATGAGAACAAACATACAAAATGAAAGTAAATATGACAGTGATGAAAAGAACCATTCAGTACAACATATACAATAATACTTCAAATGAAAGGATTACATCTTTATGAGACCCATTTTAAAAGGTTCCACAAAACTCTCGTGATTAAAACCTTCCCCAAAACCAGTTTCCCTTTAAAACTCCCCTGTTCCATCAGTGATGGCAATGGTGTCAATGAGACTTGAAATCTTAGAAATATTAACAGGTCTTCATGCTGCCTCAATACCCTCAGTCCTTAAGTCCTGTCCATTTTTCCCATGAAATGCCTCAGAATTGCCCTTTCAACTTCTCTTGCAGGCCTGCGGAAAAGCTGCTCACTCTTGCACTATGCCTAAGTTCATTCATTCATACCCATACTCATCAGACACTTATTGCGCACTTACTGAAGTTCTACACCAGCTCTGAATACAAGCTACCCATTCTAACAGGAGATGGAGATGTACATCACAAATGGTGCAATGTTCTAATGACAATATCACTTTATTAGGTCGGCCCCTCCGATATGTCATTTGCTGTTCCTACACACTGGTGTCCCATGGAAAGCCTCATAACAGCCCTAAAACATAAGTGTAATTATCTTCCACAAAGCAGAGAAACTGAGGCACAAAGAGACAAGTAACTTTCCCTAATCACTCTGCTAGTAAACCGCAAAATGAATTCTACAGATCTGACTCTTGCCACTACTTGGTGAATCTAGTGTGTTAACTCCTAAAACAGTCCTTCCAGGCCAGCCTGCCTAGTGCTGCCAGATTCATCATCTTAAAGCACCCTTTGTACATGGAACCCCTTGGCTCAAAAACCTTCAATAGCTCCTTTAGCCTGACCTTCAGTCTGACTTTGAGTTAAAAAAAAGAACTAAATCCTGTCTTTTTTCCTTTTAAGCTCTAAATCTTGTGAAGCACTTAATTTCTCTAATCTTCCTTTTCTTGCTCATGAAATAAGCAATAATAAGATGCAGACATGTAAGGATTAGATAAAATATAACATGTAAAGGACTAAACACAAAAGTGTTCAATAAATAGGAGTTACTGTTCCTAACTTCAGTACAGAAATCTTCTGTTTTAGACAATGTACATATTGCTTCTCTTACAAAGCCACTTGGATTTCTGCCTTGCTTCACACTATTGCCTCCTCTCCATTAGGAACAGGCACTCTAGATGTACATGCTATAAGAATCAACGTCTGTTCGTCCTCATCAAGGCTCAAGTCAAACTCCACTTCCTCCTCCATGAAGAAATGAACTCCACTCCCAAGAATCCATGGGGAAATGGGGAAGAAAAAATGCACACTCCACACCTATTATTATGAACTAGAAAATATGTGGTACTTCATCAGTTCTTCATCTCTATTTCATTCTCACAGGGAAAGATACAATAACATGCACAAAGACAAAACTGGTAACTGATAGAGATGAGATTAAAATCCAGATACTTCTGGTCCCTTTTAAAAATCCAACCTCCTCCTACACATCACCATGCATCTTGGCACATGGGAATATACATTTAGTAAACAACTATCCAAAGCTTACAAAGGGCATAGTGCTGCTATATGCTGTAAGTAGTCCCATCCACATATACATATACAACTGCCACAAAACCATCATGAAATAATGATTATCCCTAGTGCTTGCAATGTGCTCTAACATTTTCTAACATCTTCTGTTTTGCTTAAAATAAAATAAAATTCTAGTCAGATCACACTGACTTCATTTCACAACCACTGATAAGCAGTAATGCAAAGTCTGAAATAAAGAGCTGTAAAAGATACAAGGTCACATGAGATGGAAAATTTTATCCTCAAGATTTAATCTAGTTGGAGATATAAAGGTAAAATGACTCTTTTCCTAACCACCACCCATCCTACCTTGCTGGAGCAGGAGAATCTATGTGCCTGCTGCTCCCCTAAACTTCCCTATCACAGAATATAATCAATAAACTGTCTAAACTGTAGCTATAATAAATGTTAGGTATTCAACAAACATTTGTTGAATGAATGAATGAGTGAGGTGCTCTGGAATTTCAGAGGGAGAAGTTACATAGCATAAATCTTCTTTCCGTCTAGTTCATAATCCTCTGAAGTCAGGAACAAGTGTGTGTGTGTGTGTGTGTGTGTGTGTGTGTGTTCAGTGTGTGGTATGCCAGGATAGAAGCTAGGGCCTTGCACATACTAGGAGGGTGCTCTACCACTGCCCAAAAACATTCTGTACAGTTAAACACATCAAGAGATCAATATTGTTTGTATAAACTCTATGTTTTAAAAAGTCTGGGGCTGGAAGTGTGGCTCAGTGGTAGAACACTTATATGGCATGAGTGAGGCCCTGGATTCAATCCCCAGCACCACAAACAAACACACAAACAAAAATAGCTGAACCATAGTCTGGCCACAATTCACATAAAAAAGCAGATAAACATGAGTCTTTGCCAATGAAAATCAAGGAAGAAGTTTCCAACTCAAATAATAAGCCTACCTTACTATTCAAAGTGTGGCCCCAAGTTACGACATTACCTAAGAGTTTGTTAGAAATGCAGATTCTCTGGACCCATCCAGACCTACTGAATCAGAAACTCCACTTTAAATTAATCCCTAGGGGATTCCTGACACACATTAAAGTTTCAGAAGCATCATCAAGTCTATACCATAAAAATGAAACCTGGCTCCTGTAACCTCAGAGAGTCACCATCTTCTCCTGTGTTATCTCTGTAATAACCAACCAAACTTTTCAAGTACTACTACAAAGGCCATGACACAGTGTCAAGCATACTAGAGTATAAATCCGAAGTATCACTTCAATGAGAAAAATTATTTGATCATTCACTGAACATTGAAAGGAATTTTTAGGAAACGTACAAAAAAAAAAAAAAAACCTATGATCTCTGCCTCCTTTAGGGCACAGACTGTACAAGAAAGAAAATGAGGCAATGAATGTCAGCAGCCAAAGTAATAAGTCTTTCATCTCAAGGATGAGGTTACTGAAGAAAAGATGTTGGTGACGACATTTAAGAACAAACCTCTTTAACAGTTCTGAGTCAGTGTTACATATAGTCTCTATTAATTGACCTTACATGGAAAGCTGTGTAACAAAATGACCCAGGTGACATGACTCAGATCTGCTGAACACCTTCATAGACTCAATGCCTGGAAACCAGTCTTTAAAATCACTACAAAAAAAAAAAAAATCTCAAACCAGGAATCTAAGTCACAATCCTGTCATTCTACAATGAGACAAACTCTGGGTGGCCACAGGAACTTCGGATGAAATAGGCCCTTCTTCTTATTACTGGAAAAATGGGGGGGGGATAAGACGGGGAGTTGATGACAAAAGATAGCAGGCATCCTCATCGCGTCACTGACTGACACCTCTCCATCACAAGGCGGGAGAGAAGAAACCCGACGCCTGTCTCTGAATTCAGGTTTTAAGTGCCCTACACTTAACCCTAAAAGTTGGGAGCCCACCCTCCGCCCATGCAACAGGCATTCGGATGACAGCTCGCCCTCCAGCTCCCCTCCCCCTTCTTCCGAGTAGGAGTTAGGACCTGCGTGCCTCGGGTCCCCCCAAGCCGCTCGGCCACCCCAAAGCTCTCGAACCCCTCCAAAGGAAACCGGACTCGAACGAGTCCCCGAGCCCCTCGGCGGCGCGGCGCCTCCTGGACCCCAGGCCCATCCTCCACACGCAGCTGTCCTGGGGACCGGCTGGCTGACGGGGCTCACCAAGTACAGGGGAGCATAGATCTTCAGGGACTCCTCCAGGGCCGCCCAAGTGATCTGCACGAAGGAGACCCGGCAGGAAGGGTGCCAAGTGTGGCCGATCTCGTAGCAGTTATGAGGGATGGACTTGCTGAGGGCCGCCATGACGGGGAGCCGCGCGCAGGGGAACAGCCGGGGCTCGGGAGGGAGCGGCGCGGACACCAACCGCCGCCCTCTTGCCGCGCCGTCCGCTCGAGGTGCCGAATGGAGGGGAAAGGTCACGCGAGCGGGGTTACTCGGGGCCAAAGTCCTCGGATGTTGGGCGCCTGGCGTATGGCAGCTCGAGGGGGCGGGGCGCGCACGGGAAGGCGGGGAGAGGCGGAGCGTGCGCGCGCTCGCGGCCTCGGCGTGCGGCGCGGGGAGCGCGCGCCTCACGTGCTGGTGGCGCGGCGCGGACACGCGCCCGCTTTTCCTACCCCAGAGCCGGGCCCGGCGGGGGAGTGCAGGCGCCCTGTCCCGAGCGCCAGAGCTAAGTGATGGTTTGCGACAGCTTGTACTTGGGTTTGTGTCCTCGCAAAGCCCAGCCAAGTAGGGCTGAGGGTAGTGGAACAAAGAGAGCTGGTAGAGTGAGAGAGGTTTGCCCCAGGGAAGGCCTGAGCTGCCGCTTCCCCTTCCCGGGAGTGCCACGTAACAAATTCTAGGGCAGCCTGCTGGTTGCCAGCGCTAACTGCTCCTAACTGCGGAGCCTTCTAAGCTCTGTGGTGCCCGGGAAGGTTTGAAAAATCTCAGCTAGGTCCATACACCTAACCACGTGCGGAAAGGGCAGTAGGTGGTCCTGTCCAAACCCTAAGGACTGGGCACCCCCGCATCCTTGGCAGGTGCATCAACCGAATAATAGTACACACGGTGGAGGCCGCGGCGGTGGGTTAGAACTCGTGCGTGACTAGAGAGTTTGGCCAACGATTGACTGGCATGACACGGACCTGTGTGGCCTGAATCACATAACGTCCGAATGTCGGTTTCCTCATCCATGTTAACTCTGCAGTTACTCTGGAATTCTAAGTTCTGTATTTTATTAAAAAGTAGGAACTTAGTACTTTTAGAGGAACCCCTTCTAATATTCTAGTCTTCATTCATTCTCCAACACTTACTGAGCTAGGATTATTTTCCAAGCACTGTTCTAAGCCATGGAGAAACGGATGTGAACCAAAGGCAATGTTTCCATTTTCATGAAACCAGCATTCAAGAGGAAGAAGTCACACAATAAGCAAGAAAACTAAACCAAATAAAATAGATTTAGGTCAGTTCAAGGAAATGAAAGAGGAATACTCAGATGAAAACTTAAAGTAATGACCGTAAAAAGATAAAAGTGCTTATCTGGTATACTACTATGGTGACTCCACAGCTGTAAGAGATCCAGACTCTTTCTAACAGGTTGCTCTGCCAGCTGTCACCTGTGACATCTACCCTAACTTATAAAGTTACATCATAACCTAGCATGACATCCACATGCTACCCAGGGAGGCTAGAGAAAGGGGGAAAGAATAACAAAGTTATCTAAGAAAACGTCACAGGCCAGGCATGGTGGTGCATGCTTGTAATTCTAGCACTTGGGGGGCTGAGGCAAGAGGATCATGAGTTTGAGGCCAGCCTGGGCTACATAAAGAGACCAAACCTAATTTTGAGTGGGGGTGGGGAAGGTACTGAAGTTTGAACTCAAAGCCTCACACTTGCTAAGCAGGTGCTCTACCACTTGAACCACACCCTAGCCCTCTGTTTCCAAAGAAATAGAAAACAAAGAAACTTGAGATCCTCAAGTTTCAAACCACTTCTCTTTATATCCCGTGGCCAAAACCTAGTAATATGACCACACTTAGTTGCAAGAGAAGCTGGGAAATATGTTCTTTTAAGGGTGATTTTATTGGTTGGATAAATGCCAAGGTAACATTTGGGGGTTAGCAAAATGGAAAGAACAGATACTGGGCTACTAATAATGTCAGCCACAGTTCTATGTTTCTGGTTACCCAAATATCTGGGCATGTCATTCTTTCCACAAATAAATATACTTTCCTTTCCCAAGGGAGACAACCCAAAGTCCCATGCAGTTATTACATCCTGTTCAAAGTCCAAGATGTTCCTCAAGACTAAATGCACTTCTCATGTTCAAATTATCTGCCCCCTCAGCACACCTAATATACAATGGTGAGTAGGAACAAGGTAATCACAATTTTTAACAGATCTCCAATTCAGAAAGTGAGAGGATCAGAAACACAGCATAAATTGAGAGGATCAGAACCACAGCATAAATTTATGATAGCAATTATAGGAATAGCAATGCAGATTACCTTTTAACTTCAATAATCCATTTCTGGAAACCTGATGTTCCACAAGAAAATGTGAAATGAGAGAGCCTACTTCTAAATGAGAGAAATAAAATGCATTGCACATCAACCCCAAAATTTCATATAGCTGCTTAAAGTAAAATGTCAAGTATAAGTAACAAGCTATTATGATGTGATGCACAATACTTTAAAAATAGCATTTTAGAGATAAGGGTGTAGCTCAGTGATAGAGTGCTTGAGTAACATTGGCCCTTCTTTTGATCACCAGCACCACACACATGCACACACGCAAACACACACACACACACACACACACACACAAAAGCATTTTAATAACCAAACAATTGGTATGAATGGAAACTGTCAGCTGCCTCAGAACATAATAGCATTTGTAGTTTGCATGCCTCATGATAAACAATAAATTCACTGCATGTCACAGCAAATACATACCAATAACAAAGAAGATGCACAGTGAATGAAACAAACTAATCTTGCAATTTTGGTGGAATTCAAAGGCTTTGAAGACATGCCAAGCTGAAAATGGTTACCCTTGCAATAATCTGGCTTTGAAGATATCAATGAAAAAGGATAGAAGAGTTCTTAAGATCTTATGTGGAGGATTTAGCAACACTGAATTTGTTCAGCTCCACACACAGCCATTGTAGAGATGCCAAAGCACATAACAAAACAGGGCTCATGCTAAGTATTAAGCCATGTTACCTCTTAATTCCAGCACCCTTTCATATAAACGTTCCCTTTGTTGAGAATAAGCAAGCTTTTCAAAATAGCTACATATGACACCATTTTTGTCGCCACATAACTTCATATTCTTTCTTATTTATCTTATTTAAAATAACAATTTTAAATAACATTCAGTGTTTAGATGTAAATATAAATGTTTACCATATAAACATTGAAAGATACCTGTACTCTTTCAAACCACCCAGACAGTGATTCTGCCAATGCAATTCTCTTTAAATTTTTGGGGTCTCCTTATATATCTCCTTATATATCCATGACATTAGAAAAAACCCACACCCATAAATCTCTGAGCCAAACACTATCTTGGGCTGACAGTCAGGAAATTGATGGAAAATGCCTTTAATATACTTGGAAGCCCTCTTGTCTAGCTAAAGGATCTCGGGAGAAAAGCTTTAAATCTTTGAATAGTCTTAACAAAGACTCTTACAGCTGGAACCAGGATTTAAACTTTTAAAGTAGCACCGTAATTTCAGAACCTTTTATCATCTGGAGAGGGGATGAAAAATGGTTATTTTTTAACCCAAAATTCCTAGATTCTTGATAGTTTCTTCAAATTCTGCATAAAAATTGAAAACTTCATTTTGAATCTCATCTTCCTATATGTAATAGTATTTTCAGAAAATCAATTGGTTCTTTCAGTTATCTACCTGGAAATTTTCTTAACCAAATATACCAGTTGATTAGACACATTTTCAGTCTTCCAAGCTTCAGCAGGCACCATTATTGCCAAACTTTTCCCCTCTATGTAACAGGCATCCATTTTTCTCCAGCCTCTGATAAGAATGTCTTCCCTTCCAAAATACTCTCAAATAACTGTACAAAACTTTCAGGGACACTTTCTATAGAATTCCCAGTGTCCATGTTATTGTCTATGAGAATTTACAATTATTCTTTGAGAGGAAAAATACAAAATCAACATATAATAAATAAGAGTGCATGTACAGTACTAATACCACAGAAACTAGCGCATCTATCTAAAAAGTCAAACTAATTCAATACGTCTAAAGAAGTGTGCTGATAGGATTAGAATTTTAAAAATAAATAAAAATTAAAAAAAGAAGGGCCACTGAGAGGAGTCAGACATATAGGAGTGAAAGCTACCAGCCAGGGACCTCAGGTATTCTGGACTCACTGACAAACTCTACTCTCATAAAGTCGATTTTCAGGCTTTTTGGAAGGGTTCCATTAAATATCTGACTTATCTAAGTGATCCTCCTTTTCTGAGAATAGGTATACCAAGGCTTCCCATGCAGGTCTGCATCTAGCAAGAAGGCAGGAGTGAGCATGGTCCCAGGCATCCTACTTTGTATGAAAGGTGGTTTGGTTTTTTTCCTCCCTTGTTTTTTTCTTGTCATTTAATAAATTGGCATTGTGGTTTACACATTCATTTGTAAGCTTGTTTTGTGTCACTTAGCCTGTGAAAGATAAAGCCTCTGTTGGTGTGCTGCCAAAACCAGGTTCCTGGCCCGAGTAGTTTGAAAGTAATGAATCGTGTTTCAGTCAAGGTAGGTTAGGCTATTGCTGAGACACCCATGCATCCTAAGTCTTGGAGGGTTCAAAATAAGAAAGAATGATTTTGTCCTTACACAAAGTCCAAAGCAGTTTGGCCAGCTCTCCTGGGCAACTTTCCCCAAATAGTGATTGACATAAATGGAACTCCATCTTTTGGGGGCCTTTAATGGCCACTTTTTTTGTTTCTTTTTTTTTTTTTTTTTTTTTGCTCCTTTGTTTTTGTTTTTGTTTTTTTTTGGTATGCATGGGTTTCTGTTCTTTGCATAGAAGCATGCACAAAATTAAAGTATTCAGCTTGGTTAGTTTTTAAATTTTCCTTCACTCCTGAGACTACTCTGCACACAAATTAAGTAAAAGAGCGTTTCCATCAGCACAGACATTTCTCTGCCCCTTCTCACTAAACACACCCACAGAGGTAACAGCTATTCTGACTTCTAACATCATAGCTTGATTTTGCCTGCTCCTAAAATTTAGCAAGGGAAGCACAAGTTGAATATTTTTGTGTGCCTGCCTTCCTTCACTCAAAATTTTGTGCATTTTATTGTGTGTCCTGTTGCTGTAGTTCATTCACTTTTATTGCTATGTAAAATTCAGTAGTCAGAACGCAGAGCTTTCTTTACATTCT